GCTCAGTCATCAGGTACAGTACAAAGAAACGACATTTTTCTTGCTTGTAAGTGACTGCTTGGTTGCTATAGTATCTGAGCTTACAATATTCAACTATGTAAGGTACAGTCTGTGTCAGGCCAAGTGGTCCTGATATCACCAGATCTTATCCTGGTTTCTATAGCACGAAGTGAGAAGGGAATAGGAGTACTGTACTGTATTTCTACTCCGTCATGGATGGGATGCTTCATGCACACGTACGTACATGTACAGTAGTCCATTGGTGGGTTATCCCCAACAATAAATTCGGAATAATCGATTGGAAGTCCAGCGTGCTAACCATTAGGCCACTACACCTCCAACAAAGTACATAACTGTAATTATACTGCATTAACTGGATGTGGAAGATCATGAAGTACAAAAGTCATGTAAAAAGCGTACTCATAATCAGTAAAAAAAAATAGTTACAGTACACATTAAATACACCACATACCAAATTGTCTCTTCAGAAGCTTCAAAAAGTCATCTTGAAATTCTCTGAAAATATATTTTGGGGTAACACAGAGTAAGCATTCAATGATCAAGACAATAAGGTTCAACCATTTCATTTTATACCTACACCTCTTCTTGATGATGTACAAGTTTAAAGGATCCTAGTAAGCCACAGCTTTGCTTTTGTTTACAGAGGGTCCACAATAGGGTTCTCAGATCCTGCTTTCCTGCCCGTTTTTTCCTGTTAATCCTGCCATCCCACCCTTTTTTGACTGGAAATCCCAATCCCGCCTACTTTTCAGACGTTTCTGTGTTAATTATTGATTTGTTAAATTAATAATTAGTTTAATTATTAACACAGAAACTTTTTAAAAATAGATATCATATGAAAGATTTCAAAAGAATTCAATGGGTAGCAGATACATGTAAGTAAGCACAAAATAATGATTATAACGTTTCTTTCCATAAATTGTTTACTGTTTTGTATTCTTTTGACCACGTATCAGTGAAAGAAATGGCCTGTATACACACTTGACAGTTTCTTTCAAAGCTTTCAGCCTCTTCACTTTCCTTGAAATCTGGGCTCAGAACTTTTCTTTCTGAACGAAGGCATTCCTGCTTGCACATCCTTTTCGTAATATATCGCGATGCATACTTTGTACAGTAAATCACTGTCACCACCATCCGGTGTGGCTATCCTGGCTAAAACAAACCAAGCGCTCTGGAAAAGGTCGAAAGACTAGAAAAACTAGGAATGATTGGGGGCCAAGATTGCTGACGCAAGCGTCAAAAATGTTGGAAAAGGACAGATGTCATTGATGTCAGAGGTCGACACAAATGATCGCAATCAGTAGGAATAGGACTCAAAGACCTCATACAGTCTCATGACGCTAACGTAATCAAGCGAGATGGATACGTTTGACAGAACCTGACAGGGCACAGATCCGTTGCTATTCATTACTTGAAACCTGACACAGCTATAACGTACAAAAGGTTCGTTTCTGCCAGCTTGTGGTTCTTGTGCTGGTCAATAACAATTTATGAGGACACATAAGAACTGAAATCTTGTATTCCACTCTGTTCCCCTTGCGAATCCTGCATACCAACCCTATAAAAACACGAAATCCCGCTCCCGCTCGTAATTGTAATTCCCGCTTCCCATCCCTGCTTTCAGCTCAAATCCCAAATATCATGGCGAAAAAAAGCCAAATCCCGCATCCTGCCAAACCTATTGGGGACCCTCTTTATATGCCAGAGTTTGGTTAGTATACTTTACATGGTTGAGCATGTCAAAATGAAGGACATCACTGTGAAACTACTAAGGATAATTAGACATACTTTCAGGAACACAGCTTACAGTAAAGCAATAAGATTTTGCTTCACCATGCAATATCAATCATTTTGATGGCATCGAAAATGGTGGAGGGTAACTAGGGTTTGTCCTGCCCCTGTCTGCCCCCGAGATAATCCAATTTATTTATCTTTAACCCCTCAAGAAAGAGCCAAATTTGTTCCAAACCATCCTGAGAAAAGTCTTCAGATCAAAGATTACTGCCGGATCAACACATGTAAAAAAGACTATCGCAGCCCATGCAGAGAATCTCGAGATAGCATGGGATGATCCTAAACAGCTGAAGTTAGTATTGGTAATCAAATGGTGACGAGTGAAATTAGGAAATAATTCCATGGGTGTTTTGTCAAAATTAATCATTAGAATTTTGACACAATGCTAATGAAATTATTTCTTAATTTCTCAAGTATACCATTTGATTATCTTTTAATGTTATAGATGACAAATTACACTTACAATCAAGGGCTTTGTACTTGTTTATTGTATCACGAAATTTCGCGCCAAACATTACCATGGCAATTTGGTCATTTCACAAGTAAAATTATAAATTAACCCTGACATTTCGCGCCAAAAAGTTAAGGAGTAATTTGTCACCCAAGATATTATCTATGAAATACATAGCAAAGCATCAACTGCCTTAGCCCGTTAGTGCATTACAATTATACAAAGAACTGGTTTGCTTGCCATTGACAAATCAACATACTCAACGTACTCGCGATGTCTGACATCACCTGATAGGCCTTAACTACTTCACTGTAGAACCTGCAGGCGTACTATACAAGCTGAAGGGGTTTTCCCTTCCCTGAATTTTAGCTTACCTCGAGAAACTGTCCATGTACTTATCAACATCTTCCGCTAATAACAGAAGCTGGCGTTGATGAGATTCTGACATTGTGTGACATTTAAATCCATTCTGAAAGGAAAAGAACGATGTAAAAATATGGCCCGTCGATTTCTTTCAATGTAACATAAACGCTGACGTTTTTCAATCGTTGACGTTTTCAAGCCTGCAGCTTACCTCGTCTCGACACTGTTTCTGGCACATTTGGCAATACCATCGCAACTTTTGCAATCCTTTGGCTTTAATCCTGTTTGCTATGGCTTTGGGAGTTAATGGACCAGCCTTTTCTTTCCCCATGTTGTAAATATAAAGCTACAATGTCTCAGTTCTTCAAAATACCTCTAT